TGGAGGAAAATACTTCTGTGTTTTAGATCTGCATAAAGCTTATTTACATGTACAGTTAGAAGAAGAAAGTCAAAACTATGCTGCAGTTTCCACTCCATGGGGAACTTACAAAGCAAAACGACTCTTTATGGGTATCACAAATGCACCAAAAGAGTTTCACAAAATCATTGACCAGGTAGTATCTAACTTAGATGGAACTATTGCATATTTTGACGACTTTCTCATTCAAGGGCATTCTTTTGAAGAGTGCTATCAAAGACTAGAAAAGTGTCTCCAGACGTTGAGGAAATATGGTTTACATGTAAACATGAATAAGTGCAAATTGTTTCAATCTGAAATAAATTACCTCGGACATCGTATAACAAGTCAAGGTGTCACTAAATGTCAAAATAAAATAGAAGCTGTTACGAAAGCACCTCGTCCAACAAATGTAGAGGAAGTTAGATCATTTCACGGGTTGGCACTATACTATGCGAAGTTCATTCCAAATGCATCTTCAATAATTCATCCATTAACTCAGCTTCTAAAGAAAGATGTTAAGTTCAAATGGAATAACAAATGTGAAAACGCGTTCAATCAAATCAAAGAAGAAATCACAAGTGAAAGAGTGTTGACTCCATTCAATCCGGACTATCCTGTTACGTTAGCTACGGATGCAGGACCTACTGGTCTTTCAGCAGTACTGTCCCATGTCATAAATGGTCAAGAAAAACCCATCGCATTTGCTTCCAGATCCTTAACTAAAAGTGAAGCGGCTTATAGTCAACTTGACAAAGAAGCCACTGCTGTGTATTGGGGTATTAAGAGATTTTACCAGTATCTTTACGGCAGAAAATTTATATTGATTGTAGATAACAAGCCACTTCAACAAATATTCAATCCAAGGAAAGCCATGCCAGTCATCTCAGCACATCGATTATTAAGGTACGCCCAATTCTTAAGTGCATTCGATTACGAAATCAAACAGAGACCATCAAAAGAACATACAAATGCAGACTACTTTTCTCGAAATCCAATTCCTCTGGATGTAAAGTTGGTGAACTTCCTTGAAGACTCATACAAGGTAAATCAGACAACTCTTGACATGATTACAGACACCTCAGCTATTACCGCAGACACAATCAGATTAGAGACAAATAGAGACCATGAATTACAAAGCCTTAAAAGAAAGCTTCTTGAAGGAGAAATAAAAAACCCAGAATTCACCCTTCATTCTGGTATTATTATGCGAGGGTCAAGGGTTTACATCCCTAAAACACTTCAACCAGCAGTACTAAAAGAATTACATTCATCTCACATTGGAATATTGAAAATGAAGAGCATTGCTAGATCATTATGTTATTGGCCTGGCATAGATGCTGCAATCGAAAGCATGGTAAAATCATGTAAAAGCTGTGCTGAAGTAAAAAACAATCCAGTCAAAGCCCCTCCTCACATTTGGGAAGAACCTCAAGAAAACTGGCAAAGGATTCACATGGATTATGCCGGCCCTTTCAAAAATCACTATTTCTTTGTGGTTGTAGATGCCAAATCAAAGTGGCTGGAAGTAAAAATGTTCTCAAAAGCCCCTACCTCAATAACAACAATACATGCACTGGATGACCTATTTTCTCGATATGGACTTCCTTACACCATTGTTTCTGACAATGCTTCTATATTCAAGTCTGATGAGTTCACTAAATTCTGTCAGGATAACGGGATAATACAACGTTTCTGTGCACCAAACCATCCTGCAACAAACGGTCTGGCTGAGCGATCAGTACAAAACTTGAAACAAAAACTCAAAGCAATGACTGAAGATACAGGAAGTCTGATGGAAAAGCTGAATCTTTTCTTATTTAAGTACCGCTCAAGCCCTCTTAACAATGGTAAAACGCCTGCAGAACTATTTATGAACAGGACTATACGTACTAGGTTATATCTCATACGTCCTATGGGAAATATAACAAGAAAAATACCTGATGATCATTCTGCCAAAATAAGATTACTAAATCCAGGAGATAGAGTTCAAGCCAGAAACTATGTAGGATCTACACAGTGGAAATTCGGTACAGTTTTACAACGCTTGGGAAAACTTCATTATATCATCTTATTAGACAATCAAAACAAAATAAAGAGACATATTAACCAGCTCAGAAAAACACAGGTTGAAGCTAGTGGGTTATCAAAAACACCAAGATATTTTCATAGATACCAAAAAGCAACCCAAATCATACCAAGTCAAACAAATGTTTGTAACTCTCCAAATGTCTTGCCATGGAACACACCTTTAGGGGATCCTGCACCATCAAGTCCCTTTTCTCCTCAAATCTTACCTCAGCCTCCAATGGATTCCTCAGAGATAACCACATCTGGATCAAACATGGATTACACAATGTCAGAGCCACCTCAGCCACCTGTAGGTGCTAACCAACAAAACATTGAAGAACCTTCAGCATATATTGAAAATATTGTAGAACCACCTGTTCATAACCAACCACCATTGCAGTTAAGACGATCTTCGAGAATAAGGAATTCTAAGAAATGTAGTTGTTGCAAGTGAATGATGAACTAACGTTGAAGTCAAGTGGGGGAGAACTGTTATATATTATTATATCTATTAGTCTGGACTCATTAATTAATTTTATTTGTATTTACAGCTGATGCAATATTTACAATTCTAAGTTTGAGAAATGAATAAAAACAAGACATTATTTTTACTTCTTACAATTATGTGTTATAATTATTTAATTCAATAAGTACGTAACAGTAAGTCACCGGTTAATCTGCACCGGTGCACCGGTACATGTTCCCAGAACGCGCCCTATGTTAGCTCGACGATCAATTAAAACTCTAGTTTCACATGATATAAACAACTAATAACTGAACAGAACAAAACCAAACTGATTCTATGTTCAAGATGGTTACTTCTTCTCTGTAAAAAAATAGTGGTGAAAGTTGGCCAGTGCTGCCTGGTGGATTTTTTTGAACTAGTTATGCCTGTCCACAGGTGTGATGCAGGCTTTGGTGACCGAGTTTCTTTGTTTTTTTTTACCTTTAATAGAATGGAAAAAGTAAAATAAACAAAAAATTATTAATATCCAATGTCTAGATAGCCAACAGCAATTGGGTTTAATAATTTTTATTTCAAATTTGTTAGTAAAATCAGCTAATCTTAAGCTAAACCTAGAGGAGGTGACTGTCCACAGAAGTGATATGTCACCTTCTGTGGACATAAAATGTTCATTAAATTTCATTTAGATTTTTTTCTTCTTTACATTAAGTATTAAAAAAACGTTTACCTACATATTTAACAACAAATTATGTATTTACTAGCAGAGTACCCGTCCTTCGTACGGGGTTGGCATATAAGTATCAAATGCTTATAGCAGTTATGAGTGAGGAGATGGTTTAAGAAATTTCGGTTCTTTTTGAAGTTCGTTCGCTACGCTCACTCACCTTTAGGTTGGAGCTCGTTCGCTGCGCTCACTTTCCTTCAGGTTAGCTCGTTCGCTACGCTCACTCGCCTCCAGGTTGAAGTTCGTTCGCTACGCTCACTCACCTTTTGCTGTTGTCATAAATGTAAAAGAAATAATAGTGCTAGTGCTGCACCCTGTTGGTAATCCTTGTAACTTTTAATGCTATTGAACATCATAGAACATAACCAACTTGTTTAATTGAAACAGCTGTTAAGATTCATTAATTCCATTTCTCATAAGGTTAACAAGGGAAACTCCAGAGCCACTGGGGCGGAGCCCCGAAGGATTTTTTGGGATAAAAATATGCCTATATGTTAATCGGGAATGTGAGCTATCATCATGCCAAATTTCAGCCCGATCCGACCAGTAGTTTTTGAGATTAGCTCATACAAACACACACACAGACACCACCTCTTCTTTATAATAGTATAGATTATCTTAATTTTTATTTATTACTCCTTGGTGACTGTAATCTGTCCTTTTCTGAAGAATGGACCAAATAATACATAAATAAATACAGCTAAAAATGTGAATTTTAAAGCTAAGAAGCCTGACTCCATTGATGGACGTAAAGCCACTCGATTAAACTTAAAATGAAAAGATATTTTATCGATCTAGGTTTATTATATTATTCACGTCTCAAAATAGTGTAAAAAGGCTAATTCTAGCATATCATTATTATATTTTTTGGGGGGAACCCCTCTTCATGGAGGTATTCCAGACCCCCCTGGATGGGCCACCCCAAGGACCTCTATTTTATACCTCAGGATACGCTACTGCCCCCCTCTAGTTTCAATCCTGGGTACGCCCATGCAGTTTATGCTCACAGTTCAAAATCTCTCAACATGCAGCTTATAACAACAGCTAGTGAAGGGAAAAGCTCCGCTAGGCCTAATTGTATGTTAGGCCTATGTCTCCTATTACTAATAACTAGGTGAAACCCGTCGAAATCGACGGATACTTTCAAGGCTTACGCGAGTTTTAAAATCAGAAAATAACATTGCAACTTCTTTTGGGCTATTCTGTAACTCCCAATAAATGTGTGTTGTTTAAAATACAATTTTTAAATTAACAGCTGTTTTATTAAAAAGTATTATCCACATGACCAAAATGTAAACAAATCTGTTGACGGATCTTTAGAGGCTTCTGGGGCAGAGCCCTAAGCGAATTTACGTAGTTTTTCTTTTGATAACTCATCTAGAGACAAAGATCTTTCTTTGGACACCACCATCAACTTTCTACGCCCAGCCGTTCTCTCAAATTAGTGGAGACAAAGTTTCCAAATAAGTATTTAGATTCCCCATGTTAATCTTATGGGAGAAAATTCAACTTTGATGGGAGATCCTGCCCAAACTAATAAAGATATAAAAAAACTTAAAACACTTTGCAAAACTACAGATCAAGGCAATTTTTTTGACACTTTAATCATCAAAATCGGTCCAAAAATGAGGGAGGAGTTCTGTTCACAAAAATCGGCTTAGCGTATTATATATATAGATAGATGCCAAAACTATACAATTCTATGAGCTTTAAACTTCTTACCACTTTCATTTTCTGCTCCATTTGCTCTATTGTTGTCATCCAAGCTTACACTCGAATCATCACTCTCATTTTCAGAATCTTCAGGTTTGAGTTTGTTAAGGACTTTTTTGTTTTTAGCTATCAGAGAAGGGACAGATCTCATTTTATTTTTGGACGTTCGTTTCTTAAACACACTTGTCTTCTTCATAGTTTTTTTAAGGTCAATTGTCATTGCATCAACCTGTAAAGAATGTTAGGATAGTTAAAATAAAATTCCTTTTAAGTATGAAACAATAAAATATTTATCTATGTTCTAATTATAATATAATAGCATACAAAAAGAAAACGCAACACCACTGTGTTACTTAGCCAATGAGCATACGCTTTTAACTTGTTCCCTACCAATCACCTCATATACGTGACACTGCGGTCATTGCCATGGACCGAGGTAGGGCCTATACATTTTAATATTACACATAGACCAGGTGTCACTTGGTTAACAGTACAGACCACGGGCCAGTGATGCAGCAAAGTAAAGAACTGTTTTGCGAACTATCATTATGACGTCACTAATCATCATATCCGTAGACCAAGTGACGCACATGTGTGACAAGCATCCCTGTATACAACTGCAGAGAATTCAGGGCCTTCCATAGACGGTTACGAAGATATAAAGCTTTTAATAATGTATGCGATGGCAGTCTATGGGTAGAAACCGGCTGTCGCATGATGTGGTGTTGCTGGTCCATATGAATGAAATAATTAACTTAGTACTACTGTGGTAGCGAACGTGTTAGAACAAGAGGTCAGGGCCGATTTACCAAATAGGCATGGTAGACACAAGCCTAGGGTACAAAGCAATGGCTTTATTTGGGGGGCGCCAAAAAATTGGAAAATAAAAAAATTGGTGGTTGTATTTGCATGTGATCACAGTAAGTTAAACTTCTAGTAATCCCTCGCGGCCGTGTAGACCTCGTAATCTTTTCCTGCGATTGCGGCAAAATGTTTATTATGTACCGGTATATCAGTTATAAGATTAAACTGTCATAACCTAACCTAACCAACCAAACTTGCTGATAAGTTTAGTGAAAACATTGAATGAGGGTTTATTAATAATCGGTATTAGAATAAGTAAGTTGCTAAGTTTAGAAACTGTAGGTACCCACCTTCTTTTTACTTTGTGTCAATAACTTAATACTAACCTAACCTAAGTAACTTAAGGAGAGTCAAAGTCGAAATTTTTTAATTTTTTTCAATTTTTACTTTTTATGTCCTTTTTATAGCACAGAATGTTTTCTTAAAAATGGTATACTTACATTTTTAATTACTAACCTAGAAATGTATAAAAAAATATATTTTCCATAACATTGCAGTAAGTTAACGTTTTAAAGGTAAAACTAGTAGATCCTTGGTTGACCCTTGGAGGCTTTTCTTGCCGATTTCCGCAACTTTACTTTTTAGAACTTTAATGTCATTTTTTTCAGGACTGGTAATACAGCTGTGAAATCTTTACCATGTAGTCTTAGTGACTTATTATAAACACAGACATTTAAGGATTTCATCATATCTTTAGTAAAAGCATGTAAAAAAAATAAAAAATTTTATTTTTGAAACAAATATTTTTAAAATCTATAAAAACCCATAAAATAGTTATTTTTAATTTTAAATGAAAAATCTTGTGTCTGTCACTAGTTAATTAGTTAATATAAAAGTATACCAAGTTTCACTATCCTACCTGTTCTAACTCCTGAGAAAAATGACATTTAGTTAACATTAGGGCCTACTAAAGATAGGACCTCGGACTCCCCTTAACCAGGGTTTACCCAAAATCGGTCATTTTGGCACATGGGTTAGGTTGGGTTGGGTTAGGTTATGTTAGGGTAGGGTAGGTTAGTTTATTATACTTATATTTAATTTGTTTTACCCAAAAATGGGTCATCTTTTTGGCACTATAGACCTATAATATTATTTATGATTTTTCAAACCTGGTTTCCTGGGTAAAAAGGGCATTTGCCAAAAGAGTGTTTAACACATTCGATGCGGCGGGTCCACCGGTGGACCCCGCGCATCTCAGCTGAGGAGCGGGGGGTCCACCGGTGGAGGAACGCGCATTGCATTGTTTGCCCGATCAGTGTGGTTCAGCCATTGTCGGGGGAACGTTGTAATCTTTACCAGCCTGTAGCTTATAATGCGAGCTTTATTCTGGTGTAGGTTGGTACAAAGATTTCCCGTAAAATCCCGTCTGGCAATGCTTTTGTCCTGTTTTCGGGGATTTTCTCAGTTCGAGCCGTATTACAAAGACTCTGGTTATTGATCCAGGCAGTGCTGCTCCCTTTGGGTGTTTCAGTGAACTACGTCCACTTTCAGAGTAACGCAGAACAATCACCACTGCTCTTTTGTGATTCGTCTTAACCCTTTGAGTGCCAACGTCCGGGGAACCGGACGTTTTTAAAACGAGCCAAAAGTGCCAACGTCCGGCCGACCGGACGTTTTTAGAACGAGCCAAAAGTGCCAACGTCCGGCTGACCGGACGTTTCGTAATGATCGAACAGCTGTCATAACAACCGAATGGATACTCGGATTCTTTTAACCCATATATTAACATTGAGTCGAAAGTTACTAGATGCGATACATCGATTTTTGTTGGTCGAAATATCGAAAATTCGATTTTTACGAAATTTTAACCTAAAAATCGCCAGATCGCGCTCGGCACTTTTAGCGCGACCTTCGGGAAAAATCATCGGCATTTTTGAGCGTTACTTTTATTTTTCGCCTGGCACTCTAAGGGTTAATGAGATATTTCAATACCAATAGGCCTAGCGATCGCTGATTCAGTTAGCACGTCGGGGCTCTGCCCGGGCCTCGCCGCCATTGGCGAGCGCCTGTTTAAAGGTTTTCAGCAGCGAATGTGTTAAATACACGATTTTCAGGATGAAATAGGCGATTCCCCCAAAAGTTCCAATGGTAAAAAAAGCTTAAAATCGTCGAATTTAGGAAGATAAGGCAAAAAAATGCAATATAACATAAGTACTTATTGTAAGTTCGGTATTACCCTAAAATCAGTAATGCTTACCTAAGCTACACCATAATCAATCAACCTAAGTAGGCTAGGCTAGATCTATGCAGATATTTCAACTTAGTAAAGAATAAATTACAGAAATGTATAAGGCCTAGCTAATTTGCTTTAAATAGTGAGACTTAGGCCTAGGCTTTTAAGTACAGCTCGGCTTACTAGAAATTTCAGATAAACTCAAACATCTTTGTTTTTGACAGTCGTTAGATAAACACTAACTTAATTAAAACAAACTTAACTTAGCACGTAACCAAATTAAGTTAACTTGTATTACTCACATGCACGTAACAAGTTTTCGGGTTAGAATTAAGTTATACGTTTCGCTTAGCTTGTTGTTTTTCAATTTAAATTATCTTATCAATCTTGTTTGTTTTGATTATTTTAAGGTTATGTTTTACTTACGCTGTCTGACTTGGATTGGAACAAACTGAACAAACACGACACGTGCTTCGCTGTGCTGCTTTGTTCCTTCGATCCTTCCGTTCCGCTTCCCTGATCCTATCCTAATAAACTCGACGTTCTGTACCCACGAGCATCTCAGCTTCCACATGCACAGAAGGCATTGGAACAGTTCCTGGGATAACAGCTATTTGTGTAATAGCTTCACTGTATATCTTTATTGGACCTGTTTAGATAGTTGTTTTAGGCCGAGCGCACACGGTGTGACTGTTTTACAACTGTCGTTGCAAACCAGTTGCGCTTGCAACTGTTTTGCGACATCGGCAATGTATTGCAGTGGGGAGCCGCACACGACGCAACTGGTCGTTTGCGATTTTCAAAAAAGTTTGAAACCAGTCACATGCAACGGTGGGCCCGACGTTGCAGCAACCAGTTGCACGAAACCACGGGGTGTTTTTGTGGTGTTTGGTGGAAATGTGTTGTTATTTTGACGGCCGTATAGTGTTCATCTCAAAATGAATGATCAAGAATTCAACTTGAAGCTCGTTGGAGAAGTGGAGAAACATGAAGTTCTGTACAACTACAAACTGCCAGGATATTCAAGGAAAGATTTGACTGATTAAGCAGCGGCTACACTTGCCCGATTCGGTTCGGTCCTTCCCGAATTTGTGAGGGGTGGCTACACTTGTACGAATCGTTTCGGTCCGGCCGGAAGAGGTAGCTACACTTGTACGATATTTTGAAGGACACGCACGAGCACGGGGCACAAGTACAGCAATACAGAAGGTGTTTAGTCAAAGCCAATTAACCGAATAGGCATGGTAGGCACGTGCCTAGGGCGCGAGGCAATTGGCTTTTTTTTGGGGGGGGGGTGCCAAAAAAATTAAAAATATAAAAAAATGGTGAATGTATTTGCATGCAATCGCGGTAAACTTCCTATAATCCCTCGCGGCTTGTACTTGTTAGTAAAGCTTTGCCAAGGAATAATACCCTCATAAACCTATAAATTTGGTGTGAATAACAACGAGCAAATACTTGCCTAAAGAGTAAATACTTGTTTTTCAACAAGTTATCAGTAACCCATGCTTGTTTGAGTTTACTTGTTGATAAATGCATGTAACACATTCAGTATAGTGTAGGCCTAATACATTTATTTAAATGATGATGTATGGCTTAAGTAATTTCCGCAAAATAATGCATGGGGAGAAGATGGAACCTTAATTCAGAAGTCAAAAAACATAGATAATAAAAAAAAATAATAATTTTCAACTGAAGTGGAGGTGTATTCCAGGGGTGTCGCCTTGGGGGGGGGTAGGGGGGGGGAGCCTCCCCCCCCTAGAATCTGGGAAAGAGAAAAGTTGGGAATTTCCTTGCCACGAGTTGGGACAGTTGGGAAGTCAGATACAAGAAAAATATATTTTTAAACTAAACAAAATTTAAATATTTACGAAAATCCATCAAAGGTAAAAATTTCTTTGACTTGGACAAATAAACTTGACGCTTCTTTGATTTCATTTAACTTTGATTAAACAAGGCTAAACCATGGCTAAACACGCCTTATTTTAAGAAATCAATAATCAATTAGTGGTAACTTATAGCTTGTTGGAATTTCGTTACGAGAAATTTTGTTCCTTTTGTTCGTATGTTGGCTACCTTGATCCTGTCCTGTGTTGATGATTTGAATGATTCGTCTGCGAGACTGCGAGTCGAGTTTGAATTTTGAAAGTGCAAGCAATGTAGCTCTTCTGTTCAATTATGTTGTTTGTTCGTGTTTACAAGAAATTCAAAAATATTTTTCACGTCCGTCACATGAAATATTTTTTATACCTTTTTTGTGGTATTTGGAGCAGGCTAACTGACCGGAGTACCGGTACTTGCTAATAAGCATTAAAATAACATTAAAGATAGGTTTTGTGTATCGGTATTACCTTTAAAACTCTTATTTTTTAATAACCTAAATGGAATATTTATTCTCTGAATATATTTAAAAAATCTACACAAGTTATTTACCATTCCTAATTATGGATTTACAAAAATGAATCAACTAATCACTCTGAAACAGATCTACGTGGACAAAACATAACCTAAAATTTGATGTTTGACTTTCACCCAGTTTGATTTTTGTCTAAGTTCTAGTTTGATGAAGATGAAGGTTAACATTTTTATTGTATGTATAAGTTTATTATCAACCAAGTTGAACGTTTTTATTTTATACGAGTCTTATTTTAGGTTTATTCTTTTCTAGACTAGAATAATATTATTCACAACACTGATATTAATATTTCATCATTACAAACTTGTTTAGGCCTACCCTAGTTGTAAGTTTTATGAAAGTTAAAATGTTGATCTTAACTTCTGAAAGTATTTTAATTTCATTATTTTGTAATAAAATATTTTTTCTATACTAATTTGTACTCTGAGGCTTATTTTATATCCCTAAAATTTTAAACTGCTACGTCTGCTACCACAATGGTTTGTTAAGTTTTTTGGATTTGAAACATTACTTGTTCAAGTTTTTTGAAGTCATAAAATTGCATTATGAATTGGTAGAAGTTTTAGAAATTGAGTAATTTTGTATGTAAAACTAGCTATGTTTTGTTAATGCAAGTTTATAAATACTGAATTGAATGTTACTGCAGTGTAGAAATAATAATTTGTAGATTTTAGCGAATTTCCCTATAGGGAAGTAGCTATTACCGTAGGTCTCATGGTAAGACCTAAGCCCGGGACCGATTTACTTTTTCATTTTGATGTCCCCAGAGGCCAAAAACACCATTCGTTCAAATTTTTATATATCTATATATAGATATATATATATATATAGATATATATATATATATATATATATATATATATGTGTCCATCCGCACGATAACTTGAGTAATTTTTGTCCGATTTTGATAAAATTTGGTTTGAAGGTGTAAGGTGGGATAAACTTGAATGAGTTCGCGAACCAGCACGATCGGACTATGGGAACGGGGGTTTATGGGGGGTTTTATGGGGTAAAAATAGGTTTTTGCCATTTTTGACCCTAAAAACACAAAATTTTACAATTTCTTTTTAAACCATTTTGTAGAGCTTAAAAATACAAATAATTTAGTATATTGAAGCGTTATTATGCGCCTAACTGTTACGGAGAAAATTCAAAAAAATTGTTATTTTAAATTTCCCATGTTATTCTTATGGAGAATAAGTCAACTGTTGTAGTTTGCTTGTTTATGAACATATTTTGATCAAATTTGGAAAATACATTAATTTCTTACTAAACCACAGTACCTTTTAATATTTTACATAAAAAATACTTTTTTACCCTCCCTGTTGCAGCAAACCTAAGTACTCGTTAAACTAATTCTGTTTAAATAGGGAATAAATGTGATATTTTTAAGGAGACATTTTAGTTTAAATCCAATCAGGCAAATGGAAATTCGCTAAGTCTGCAGGTTTGCTGCGGCGGGGGTATTTAAAAATAGTACAGAAATTGGTTTCTAAAAAAAAAAAATAGTTGGGAAATCTATGTTTAGCAGTTGGGAAATTTGAGGCTTCTCCCCCCCCCTGGAATTTAACCAAGCAACGCCACTGGTGTATTCTTTTGTTATGTTCAAGCTATGTGTTATTATAGCTAGCTGCTACAAACAGCCTACGCCTGACGTTATTTCTCAAATAAGGGTGAACCCAATGTTCCCTCTGTACCCTACGGTGCTTTCTGTATTCATAATAACTAATGACGTCTTCTTCGTCTGAGTCTGACATTGTTATTGTACTTAAAAACACTTAAAAACAAGGAAGGCCTTTAAACAACGTCACTGCACTTACAATATAACACTCCACTGATTGCAGAATATACGCAACTGTAGTTGTAACACAGTTGCACCGTGTGCGGACAGAAGCTCTTTTTCAGTTGCAAACTGGTTGCAGTCGCAACGGGTTTGCAACGGTTGCTCTCAAAACAGTCACACCGTGTGCGCTGGGCCTTAACAGTCGCAGTTCCGAACTGTGCATTGTGATTTTAAGGTGTTTATTCTTTACTGTTTGTTTATTTTTGACTTGAGCTGCTTGAAAAGCTGTTTTATGATTATGAAAATTAAAGTGTTGTGAGTGAGCTGAAGCTGATTATTTGTTATTAGGTATTAACAATAATTAAATATTTTGCGTGCTGTGCATGAATTATTTATGAAGTTTTAAATGTTCACTTATCCTATCTTTTTCGGATTCCTCAAGAAAGAGTGATTGTTAATGTTATGTTGAGTTGCGTTTGTGTGTGAATTTGTTAGATTGGAGTTTTGGTAGTGGTAGGTCTAGGTTTATTTTGATTAAGTTAGTTGGGCCTTTCAGTGGAGTTTAGGTCTAAGTTAATGCCTTTGAAAAAGTTAAATTAATAACTTATCAACTTATCTATTTATAAGAGTATGCCTAAGTTTACCTTAGAGGCTAACTTAGACTAGACCTACCACTACCAAAACTGCAATCCAACAAATTCACACAACAAACACCTAACCTAACAATCACTCTCTCTTGAGGAATCCGAAAAATATAGGTTAAGTAAACATTTAAAACTTCACAAATAATTCATGCGCACAAAACATTTGGCTAATTGTCAATACCTAATAACAAATCAGCTTCAGCACACTCACAAAACTTTAATTTTCATAATCATAAAACACCTTTTCAAGCAGCTAAAGTCAAAAGTAAACAAACAGTAAAGAATAAACACCTTTACAAAATCACAATGCACAGTTCGCCACTGTAACTGTTGAAAAAAACCACTATCTAAACAGGTCCAATAAAGATATACAGTGAAGCTTTTACACAAATAGCGGTTATCCCAGGAACTGTTCGAAGGCCTTCTGTGCTTGCGGAAGCTGAGGTGCTCGTGGGTACAGAACGTCGAGTATCCTAATAAATCCCTGTTCTGTGTTCTCATTCGGCAAAGGCTATTCGCACGTCTGTTCCAAATGGCGCCATATTACGTTCCTAATCCAGTTAATTTTTGTAACTGTTTTGGAACAGGTTGCACGCAAAGAAAACCTAGTATTAGGAACCGTAAATCTCATTTTTAGCCGAAATGGATAAAATAGACTTCGCGATTTCTCTGCCCGCAATATAAATACTGATTATGAAATGAGACTGATCCAAACGTCAT